ATATTTAGAAATACTTCCCTGGGGGCACCTGGGTGGCTCAGTCAGTTAAGCGTCTGCCTTCAGCTCAGGTCATGATCCCAGGGTTCTGGGATGGAGACCCCGATCTGGTTCCCTGCTCAGCGGGGAGTCTGCTTCTCCCTCTTAGCTCATGCTCTCTCTCTGTCTCTCTCAAATAAATAAATAAAATCTTTAAAAAAAGAAAAGAAAAGAAAAACTTCCTGCATTCTCACATGGATTTCTTTGTCTTACAAGATCTACATGGGCATGATTTATACCTGTGCTGATGACTTATTTGTAACTCCTGTTTGGATATATCCTTTATTTATTTTTCAGCTACACGGGATTTTTCCATCACAATGGAAGCATTCGGTATTTTCCAATCTTTAATCTTCAAATATTTCCCTTTAACTTTCTCATGATGACATAATTACATTGTGGGATGGTCCCATGATTCCATTTTATTAATGACACATTAGAAAACACCTGACGAGGAGTATTCTCGGGGTCACTAAGATCCTTCTCTATACTTGTTGACTCACAAATAACATTTTAGACCTAAACACCAGTAAAGGAGAAGCTACCCAACTTAACTATAAAATTGTCTCGCAACTACATCTGTCTCGGCTAAATTCCATTTTCCTTTTTATGCAAAATACATTAATTCTTAGTTTCCTATGACACTAGAGGCTTTGTGTCAGCATGCTTTATAAGACAATGACTTAATATATGTTGAAATACACCTTATGCCTAATTCTTTAACAGAGATCACCTTCCATGTTAACTATTCAAAAAGTTTTAAAAAATAAAGCTTTTTAGGGAAGGTATAGACTTGGAAATTCCCATCAGAATTGGGAGTTTAATGAGAAAGCAAAAGGTAGCAAATGATTCTGCTGCCCCTGACTTGCCCTATAAAAAATAATTTATGCCATGAATTTCTTTCTGTTCATTAGAAGAAATCAACATAATAAAGATTTAATAAGTTTCAAAGTTTGGACAATAAAATCTTTGTCCAAAACTGAAGTAAACTTAGCATTCTTACAAACAAATCTACCAAGATACATTTTTAACCCTTAAGGGTTAAAACTGAAAACTAGCTTAAAATTCTTTTGTTAAATTACACCACACTTCTCCAAAATCATAGTTGCCTCAGAAATAAGACAAAGATCGGAAAGTACCCAGAACTTTAAATAAGGTAGGATTTATTAAAGAGTCTGACAACAAGTTGATTAAACATGATGACACTGACCTTGCCCCTGAGTGAACACATTAAACCTGTTGGAAATTGCCTAGTGAACCCAAACTTCCTACCCATCCTAAGTTTGGGGAATATCCAGAGACTGAAGAGCATAAAAGGACTTGTGGCTCAATAGAAATAGTTATAAAGATAACATAAAGTGGTAGCTAGAAAAACAGTAAGTTCAAAAATCATTAGAAAGGAATAAGTTTAGAATGTGAACAATTTCCTGGTGTTTATAGAGAATTATTTCTCTAAAGCCCTTGGAACATAAATATGTATTGTGTTTCTCCAGGAGAGGGCTGTAGTAAACTGATTTTTAAAATGTAATTGACCATGGAACAATTTTGCCCTGGGACATTTCATGGGACAGTGCTTCAAAGCATACCGTTTAGGGCGCCTGGGTGGCTCAGTTGGTTAAGCGACTGCCCTCGGCTCAGGTCATGATCCTGGAGTCCCGGGATCGAGTCCCTCATCGGGCTCCCTGCTCGGCAGGGAGTCTGCTTCTCCCTCTGACCCTCTTCCCTCTCATGCTCTCTGTCTCTCATTCTCTCTCAAATAAATAAATAAATAAAAAATCTTAAAAAAAAAAAAAAAGCATACCGTTTAGTAAATTCTGCTGTAACTATCAACTTTTGCTTATTTAGGTGCTGATTGGCCAACTTTAAGATATCCTGTCTCTTTGGTCATCATTTATTTCATATTGCTAATCATGCCAACAAGTCATTTCAACTAAATCATAGGGAAATGAAGAGATAAAATATGAAGCAGCTTATTTTGCTACTTATTTGTAGCTCTAGCTTTGTTCCTTTTTGGTCTTAACTTGCTGAATAGGGCAGTTACTTGCATGGCTGATTAGAAACTGCCCTGCTTTTTCTAGCAATTTTTCATTCTGTCTCTCTCTCTCCGTTTTGTTTTTGGTTTTGTTTTGTCTTTGTTTGTTCGTTTGTTTGTTTTAAGAAGTGCCTCTCCCTTCTCAACTACAGCACGGGAGCTATGCTGTTTCTACAGTAAGCTCGTGTTTCTTGGCCATAGTTGTTAGATTGTAGGTTGCCACTTGACCCAAGTTGGGTCAAAAAGAATTTGAGACTGTAGGAAAAAGAGAAAACACTTACTTACCGAATGACTGAATTCCTAAACTTCAACCTTGGGCTCTGTTGGCAATGGTGTTCTCTGTCACGTAGACTTAGAAACAGGAGAAGTGAGGGAGGGAAAACAAGGAAGGAGGGAGGAAAAGAGGAAGGGGAGTAGGCAAGATGAGAAGAGGGAGAACAATGAAGCAGTTTCACAAAGCTGAGCAAAGGTGAAAGTTGGAGGGAGACTCCTGACTGAGTTAATTCCCGTTTCCGTTGTGCTTGTGGTAGCCATAGCCTGTCCTCGTGTTCAGTAAGAAAACCGGTTACTAATAATGCAGTTCCCTTTTGCTTATTAACTAACGAGAGTCAGTTTCAGTTACTTATAACCAAAAAAATTATAATTACTTCATCTAGGCATAAACAATTCAATTATTGAATAAAATCAGAGGCTTTACATCTAACTTATGGCAATCCTACTATCCATAGAAAATTCATATTTTATTTTTTAAACTGGAATTTAATATTTAAATCCAGGTCTTTTTAATGGGCAAGATTTATATAAAATCCTAGCTAAGCTTTAATTTTGAGGAAACTAATATTTTTAATCAACTGACAAAAATATTGAGCATATACTTTTATTACAAAACCCTCAATCTTCTGTTTAGTCTGCTTTTGCTCTCTTGCTTTTTTCCCCTTCTCCTCTTCTGGATGTGCCAGGCATTAATAATAAGATGCTGTTATATTCTAGATAAAGATAATGAAATAACAATATGTAAGCCTGAATTGCTGCAACAAGTAGCCTAGATCTCTGAAAACATGGGATTTGTGAAGCACAATGGAAGAAGACTCTGTAAAGAAGGTGGAATTTGAATAGAAACTTGAAGGATGTGTAGTAGAAAAGGGGAAGGAGGCATTCCAGGAGAGTTGCCAGCACAAAGAAAGGTAGTAAGGTACACAAGTGAATAGTATGTTCAGGAAATGATGAATGGACTCTTTGACTAGAATGTAAGAAATTGGAATGATATGACTGTGGAAAGATTGGTTGAAAACAGATTACAAATGGCCATTGGCAATGGAAATTTGTAATGGTTTTTAACCAATAGAGGGACACAAATGATGCATTTTTAGAAAGATAACTTTGGGGTTACTGTGAAGGTATCTGCAAATGAGAAGATACTGAACAAAAAGTCTTATTGTTGATGAAGACATGATGAAGAACCAAACTAGGGCTACAGCAGTAGAATTCACAAGAAGAATGTATTTCAGGGTCACTTTGGAGATATAATCAGCATAGTGTAATAACTGATATTGAGAATTTGATGTTGGGAGTGAGAGAGAGAGAAGGTGAAGTTGTCTGAGGTCCTTAAACAGAGAGGTGTATGGATGATGATATTAATATAAAAACATAATACAGAATTGAATGAAGAAGGAAATAGAAGTTGGTTTTGAACATCAGATTGTGATGCTTTGGAGGACCCAGGTTTACATCTATAATAGGCAGCCAGATGTATAGTAATAAATATTCTCCTTGTTATAAAAATAATCAGGATAAGAAGTAGAAACATGGAAATCATCACCCCCAACTGAGGAATGAAGCAGAAAGAAAACTAGAGAGAATGACTTTGAAAAAGACAAGGGGAAAAAAAATTTCAATGAGATGGGGTCAGGTATACAACAATGAGGTCAAGCAAGATGAAAACTGAAATTGTGCAGTGGTTGGGAAAGACCCAGTAGACATCCTATGCTAGCATTAGGCCATTCTATAGATAATTTTCCCATTTCTGTGAAGCAAAAAATCTTAGTTTGTGGAGCCTATCTCCTGGGTTCCCAATAGGATCCCAAGAATCCCATACTTGGGTTGTGTATAAGTGGTTTAGAAATACCCAAAGGAGTCTATTTGCACAGGTGATTAAGGGACCATCATGAACAGAACTCATTCTCAGAGAAGGGTTGAGTTGGTCCCAAGTCAGAGGGTCACTGTCATAATGGAAAGGTAATTCTGCATAAAGCTAGAGATGTGCTGCTGAGCTTGTCCTTTTATTTTACCCTTGTCCCCAGAGACTTGTGCCAGAGCCCTAAAAGAAGAGATGATAAAAATACGAGATATATTTAAGAAATTGAGGGGCCAAGAAACATTTCTTTGCATCCTATGGAAAAGCGTGTAGCAAAGCTATGAAATAAGGGAAATTTCTCCACTTGGGTTTGCTTTTGGAGCAGGTTGACTTATGGACCAGGCACAATACCTGGAAAGGAGAAGATGCAGGAGAGATGTAAACACTCAGAGACAACAGAAACCAAGGAGTAGAGAAAGAAAAAGCTTTGTGGTGTCCGTGCTAATAGTGAAACACAAATGTGACAAACTCGGATGCTTCCAAGCACGAATTGAGAGAACCTGGAGCCCCTGCATTTGTGGCTGAGAGACAAAGGCAGAGAAATACCATTTCATTCCAATTTTTATGGCCTTTCCTCTTTGTTTAATCTGGGAAATGCTCTCCTTGCTCTATTTTTAAAACCTATGTGTATAATTATCTTCATAGAATCAACTTAAACAAGAACAAAAAACGGAGAACTTTACCACTTCCCTTTCTCCCGAATCAGGAGAGACTCAGACAGTTGATATATTCTCTGAAAATTCTAAGGAAATTATACTCTGATAAAAAAAAAATTACTATTACTCATGTTGATGTACTTTATATCAGTGTTGCACCTACTGCAAGTTTTATCTTCTCATTTAGCAGGTCCTTCAAAGCCTTTAAGTGTTCAATCACATTGTCCCTTAGGTGTCCTTCTGGATAGTATTCTGGGAAACAAATATTCAGTTCACATATTAAGAATTCCTGATGTCGGGCGCCTGGGTGGCTCAGTCGTTAAGCGTCTGCCTTCGGCTCAGGTCATGGTCCCGGGGTCCTGGGATCGAGTCCCACATCGGGCTCCCTGCTCAGCGGGAAGCCTGCTTCGCCCTCTCTCACTCCCCCTGCTTGTGTTTCTGCTCTCTCTCTGTCAAATAAATAAATAAAATCTTTAAAAAAAAAAAAAGAATTCCTGATGTCTCAGTAACTTTTAAAGAGCTTTACACATATTGTCTGATTAATTCCTTCAGCAACTCTGAAAAGAAAGCATTGTTACATACATGTTAGAGATTGAGGATTAGAAGGTGAACATTTACCCAGGGCCATGCAGTTAATAAATAGCAGAGCAAGAATTTAAGCCAAGTTCATCTAGCCCTTCATGGCTTTGCTATACTGCAGTCAGACAAGTCATTAAATGTGTCTCAAGTACGTCAAAATTTCAATGTTGCTACACATTTTACTTTTCTGCCGCTCTGAAATAAGACGCTTGATCATTCCTGTTTACTGGAAGTAATGGATTCTCCACCAAGGGCACTGCTTGGGAGACACTTCCACCATTAAACTAGAAATGTGTCCCTTTCACTCTGCCCTGTTTCTTTATAGCCAGAAGTTCATCCTGTAATATCTGCATCTAAGCATTATTCACTGGGAGGTTTTCCTGACAAAATCCTGAACTATGAATATTATTATGAGTTTTCTTATTTCCTTTTATGTTGCTTTTCAATGAGTTAGAGATAACATTATAATAATCAGTCATTGCAGGGCTCTGGATAAATATTACGGCTATTATACCAACACCACACGAATAATACATTTGAATAATATAATGCATTTTTATTTTTGTGAGAAGTGAATTTTACTCTTCACAGTATTCTATTTCTTTCCATTTTATGTGGACCTAGCAAAAGGCAAAGGTTTCAAAAGAGCAAATTGTTAAACTTTAATAGTAGGAGCTACCCTTCCTTACATGACTCAGTTGGGGAAGTGTTTGGTATTACACCATACCATGAAGGTTAATAAACCCAGGCTGGGTTAGACCGGGGGAGAGGAGATGAATTCCAGAGTGAAGCAAGGAAATAAAGAAAGAATGACATGAGGAAGATTATCGTCAGATTAGAAAATAATCTCTTCTTGCTTTCCAAAGAGGAATAGGGAATAAAAGGAGTATATGAACAGGTGCAATCAAGAATAAAAAGCAGGGGGACGCCTGGGTGGCTCAGTCAGTTAAGCGTCTGCCTTCGGCTCAGGTCATGATCCCAGGGTCCTGGGATCGGGTCCCGCATCGGGCTCCCTGCTCTGCAGGGAGCCTGCTTCTCCCTCTGCCTCTGCCTCTCTCTCTCTGTCTCTCATGAATAAATAAATAAAATCTTTAAAAAAAAAAAGAATAAAAAGCAGGACATATAAGTAGTATCTTAGAAACCACATTAACTTTGCACAAAATAAGGAAAAATCAACAAATAAGGAAATAGAGAAATTGGAGAAATAATGGATGAACATACCAATTTTATTGTTAAAAGGTAATTTGATTTCAGCAGTTTATTTTATTTTATTTTTTAAAATTTATTTATTTATTTAATGCTACTGGATTCCCTAGCATTAGTTACAGAATTTCCTGAGTACTCTGAATATAATGAAAACTACTGAATTCTTAGCATTTTAAAAAGATTTTATTTATTTTAGAGAGGGAGAGAGAGAGCACGTGTGATTAGGAGGTAGGGTAGAAGGGGAGGGAGAAGGAAAGAATTTCAAGCAGACTCTGCCCCGAGCATAGAACCTGAGGTGACGCTGGATCTCACGACCCTGAGATTAATGCCTGAGCTGAAACCAAGAGTCTGACGCTTCACCGACTGAGCCACCAGGCACCCCAGCATTTTTTTTTTAAGATTTTATTTATTTATTCATTTGAGAGAGAGTACGTGTGTGAGCATGGGGCAGCATGGAGGAGGAGTAGAAGGGGTGAGAATGGGACAAGCCAATTCCACCTGAGTGCAGAGCCCAACTTGGGGCAACTTGGGGCTCGATTCCACAACCCTGAGATCATGATCTGGCCAAAATCAAAGGTTGGACACTTAACCGACTGAGCCACCTAGGTGTCCTAGCATTTTTTAGATATGACGAATATTTATTATTTTTGGCTGCCTGATACCTTGTTCTATTTCTATCAAGAGATTCGCTTTTAGAGAATTAACCTTTTTCCCCTTGGATATAATATGACTGGACAGTAATCAGCTTTACTGTGCCTAACAAAGGTTGAGCATCTTTTGAACATTGAACAAGTACTTGGAGAGGATTTCACTCTGTCTGGGCTGTGTTCTAGATGCTGGGATTTTTAGAATTTTACCCTTAACAACAGGCATTTCACACAAATTGTGCCAATTAGATGCTTACCTTGTAATTTGATCTTGAACAAAGTGACAGAGTTGGACTTTTTCATTCTGAAAAAAATGAATTTTCATTCATTCAACATTGCTGATGCCTTAATGTTCCAAACCAGAATTTTCTCTATTTCCTAGCTTTTAGCCCTCAAAGATTTGTTTTGGTTTCCAAGTTTTCCTTAGCTTTCCTATAGATTTTGTGATCTCCCACTGGCCTTACAATACATTTCATTGCTTAGTTTAAAACCCTGCTAATTAGCCATAGGACTTTGACCCTCTTCCCTTATTTTAAACCCAGAGTCTTGATTCCTCACCGTCTCCTCAGAGATGGTTTCTATGCTTAGCAACAAAGAACTCCAACTGATACATACAGTATAGTTTTCTTGACATCATGATGGTTAAAGTGGTTTGTAACTTTCTGGGAAGATTTGGAAACCAGGAATGTGAAAAAAGAATGCATGGAGAATGACAGAGATGAGTGAAGATTCTGGGAATATAATAAAGAAAGAGGATAAAGTTTGCATGACACATTAGCAAATTTCTTTAAAATAAAAGAAACAATGTATATAGATTCTGATAAAAATAATTATGTATTTGTGTATCTAACTTTTTCCCAGATATGCTCCAACTTTTTCCTTCTGATATGATTGCCTTAATTTGTGTTCTTATTACTAAATGCCTTATTTATTAGCTTCCTCTCTCCACTACAGTCCTCTCTCCACTACTCCTAGCTCAATGCTCTCACCACACTCTTTCCAGGATTCTTTCTACAGTATCGTTCATATTAAGTTACCTGATCAAGATTTTTCAGTAGCTCTTCATTGTCTTTATAATATATGTCTGGATACAAAAAAATAAAATGAAATAAAATAAACAAACTTTAATAATATATATACCTGCTTATTCCAATTTCATACCTTGACACTTTCCCCAATACACTTATATTCTATCCCTTCAAAACTAATTGAAGTTACTCGATTTCATCTCATTTTCTCTGGCTTCCTAGCCCCCCTCAACTCTCTATCTTTGGGTTGAAAGTGAGGTTCAGTTAATCTTATCACTACCATATTGTAGTATCCATACTATAGGCCAGATGGATAAAGAAAAAAGAGAGAGAGACAAAAAAAGGGAGAGAACAGAGGATCTAAATTCTACTACATTGAGGGGATAGAACTCCAAAGTAACATATGTAGATGTTGAATTTGCCCCATCCAGGTTCAACATTCAATTCTAGAATTAGCTACTGCTATATTTACTAGATAGAGTTACAAACCTATAAACTAAGTTTTGTGTGAAACAGGCCTCACTTAGTGCAATCATCTATATCATGACTCCAAATTCTGTAATAAATTTCATCACCATCTATTGAATATCATAGAAAATTTGGACAGTATAAAATTATATTGACCATCAATTTATTTTCAGATTACCAAGCTTCATATCAAACTTAGTAAGTATGCTCTTCTTCAATAGAGTATCAAAATTGGTCAAATTTATATGATTACTTTCCAATATACAACCAAACTAATCAGTCAACTGAAAAGTCAACTAGTAAAAATTTCAGTAGATACTACACTATGGGCAATTAAAATTCTTCACAGTTATAATTAATTTTCAAAATAAATTTTCTAGAATTTCTTCACGGCACATAAAATGGTGGTTATATGGATTTTACAGCTAGACTACTTGGATTTAAATTACATCCTAATCCTACTAAGAAATTACTTAAAACTTTGGGACCTGGTTTCCTCTTTTTTAAAAGGGAATAATAGTAGGGTCTACATTATATAGTTATTGTAAAGTTTAACTGAATGAAGACATAGAAGGTACTTGGAAAAGTTCTCCTGCTTGTGCTCTCTCTGTCTCTCTCTCAAATAAATAAATAAAATCTTTTAAAAAAATAAACAAATAAACAAACTTAATAAATATCATTTAGAGTTTCTGGATATTTTCATTAACAAGATACTACTTTAAAAACAACAAATAAAATGTCCAGTTAAACCCAAAGAAATGGGAAATATCAATAGTTATCACAGGAATAATGGATAAAAATGAATTTGAAGAGCTACTGTCTTTTAGTCTCAAGACTGAATGTAAGAAGGCAAAGAATCTCATTAGGTATGTAAATACTAAAGCTTATCTTGAAACTTTATTTGAATAGAAGATGAAACAGTTCTAAATCAATACATTTGAATAAAATTCAGATAGTCTTGGAATGACCATAGATAGGTCATTTTGTGAGTAAAAATAAGTTCCATATCCTTGATCTCTGGTACATTTGCCCCAACCCAGCTCCTTGAATTAGATGACTCCTAAGATCCTATATAGAGTTCTCTGACTTCCATTTCATTATATCTTGTCATACTTTTCAAAAATTCCTTTTGTTTCTGGATTGTGGCATAATTTCTTTTTTTTTTTTTTAAGATTTTATTTATTTTTTTGACAGAGAGACACAGCGAGAGAGGGAACACAAGCAGGGGGACTGGTAGAGGGAGAAACAGGCTTCCCGCGGAGCAGGGAGCCTGATGTGGGGCTCGATCCCAGGACCCTGGGATCATGACCTGAGCCGAAGGCAG